CGTGCAGAAAAAAAAAATCGAGATTTTTGCAAATCTCGACGTTTTGCATCTCACTGATACGGAAAAACATAATTTTGCAATCTTGTCCGTATGTCTGTGTGTCTGTGTGTGTGTGTGTGTGTGTGTGTCCGTGTGTAAACACGATAACTTGAGTACCGTTACAGCTAGGTTGATGAAATTTCATATATAAGTATTTAATCAAAATCGTAGATCCGTATCAACTTTTGAGCAATTTCCGATAACCGGAAGTGGTACTTTTCCTACTTTGAATTTTTCAAAAGCCTATAACTTGAGTACTATTTCAGATAGATAAATGAAATTTCATACGTAAGTAAAAGATCTAATTCTCTACCTTCTATTAAATTTTGAGTCATTTCCGTTGACTGGAAGTAGTACTTTACGCTACTTCCGATTTCTCAAAAAACTAATGTAAATTTTAAAAGTAATAATAATATTGCGCACTATTATGCGCTTTTTTATTTCGCGTTCACTTGGTGTGCAATTAATTTGTCTACGAGATTTTATTCTATTTTTAAAAACTTTAAGTATTTAAAATGGATTAAAAATCATGTCTATAGCCCGAGTTCCCATCCCCTGTTATTTTATATAAGAATATTCGAGAAAGTTTAGGGGAGATCACTCCCGGTTTATTTTTCAAGCAAATGATATCCACCAAGACGTTAATTTTCTTTTCAATTTGGGATGGACACTTTAATGGTAAGTACAATCATTGAAATAGAGAGTAACTAATTGTTCTAAAAGAATAGCGTGTGTTTATTGTTTATATTTATTACCGAGTGTTGCAGAATGTTTTTATGGGTTTTGAAAATAAAATAATATAATTTTATAATATTTGCGAATATAACTCGAGAGCCGCATCTTGACATCAAAAGAGCCGCATGCGGCTCGCGAGCCGCAGGTTGCCGACCCCAGGAGTAGTGTGATGTGCGATCACACAGCACAGAATTTGACGCTTGGCTTGCCTTAAACACAGACACCCTCTTCACGCCCCCTAAGACACATCTACCACCTCCCCCTCTGTCCACTTCACCCTCAGACATGATAGCCCCACATCCCCTTTAACTGTTCCAACGACCCCACCACCCACTCCATTTACTTATTTAAAGTTCTAAATCTTGCTTCTTACCCCTCATCTTTCACACAGGAACCTTTTGAAAACTCAATGCGACCAGTATATAAACTGGTCAACATATTTTGTTTCCTTACATAGAAAACGCTTCACTGTCCCATTGACCCCCCCCCCCCTCTTTGAGCAATTTCCTTTCCACTCCCCACCCGGAGTCCTGACACTTTCATTTGACCTTCACCCCTTTTACTGTTATCCCATAATTTATTTTATTTAAAAAAAAAATCCTATCCAATTTGTATTCTATCAAAAGTACATATAGATGTTAGTACAACTACATTTGTATCATTATCTCTACACATTCAAAAAAGGTTTTTCCTTATCTCATGGTGCACGTTGAAGTATTCAGCATTTAATGATAAGCGGCTTATAAACTTCCAGTAGAAGACTACCAGTTTTGATAAAGTCCATGGGCTAACGAGTCTTTTTAACACCATTCTCATCAATATAACTTTCCATCGATACACCGATTCCTATGTGGTAATCATTAACCATCCTGTAACAATGTTAACCACTTTCGAGTTCTTTACCAGCAAATTATCACAATCATTCATTTTATGGTCCTAGGACCTTTGACCACAGGTGCTTTGATCATAGGGGGTTTGACCACAGGGGGTTTGACCATAGGGGGTTTGACCACAGCGGAGCTTTGACCATAGGGGCTTTGACCATAGGGGGTTTGACCACAGCGGGGCTTCGACCATAGCGGTGCTTTGATCATAGGGGGTTTGATCATAGGGTGTTTGACCATAGGGGGTTTGACCACAGGTGTTTTCTCAGCAGAGGGTCTTTGATCACAGGTGGCCTATCAACGGGTGTTTGATCACAAGCGCTGCGTCCGGCTTTGATCATAGGTGTTTTGTCCACATATTGTCTTTGATCTCTGGTGGTTTGTCCAATGCTGTCCATATATGGTAAGGAATTATTTAAAAAGTTGCTAAATTATATTTTAAATTTCGACATGATGTAATAATATGTTAAATCATCATGTATAAATACAAGACATCTAAACTATTCTATGTCAAAACCATGGAGAATCTTGGAGAGTAAAGCAGGTCGAAAAAAGGGAAAAGAACTTTGTTGTATCGTGGTCACGAGTTTTGGCTACACAGAGTACGCCAGGACGGGTCACGCTTTTGGCGGTGTACGAAGAAACTTGGAATCAAATGCACACGATTGGCGATGGTGTAGCACGAACAAATAACATTTGTGAAGGATGGCATTACAGTCTTCAGTCTCTCCTCCAATGTAGTCACCCAACAATGTGGCGTTTCCTTGAAGGTTTACAGATGGACTGCACACGGCAAAAGACAACTTTCTTGCAAGGTGTCGCAGGGGCAAGCTACCCAGCTGAGAAGCGATACAAGATGCTGCACGAAAAAGTACAACGTGCTGTCCAGACATGGTCAAACATATGTACTACCATATTTGCGTGATATAGCACATCTGTCATTTAGTTAACCCTTTTATGTATTACATCTTTGACTATATTGTTGGCAAGTTTTGTATAATTTTTTATCCTTTATATATGCTATGTATTTTCAAGTACAACTACATTATTTATTTGTGAAACTTGTTATATGTTGCATTATTTGTGTTTCTTTTTTATTTTAAATTAAATTTATGAGGCCTAGCACCAGCCTTTATGTGGAGACTAAAATATAGTTCTTGGCCTTTTTGAATACGTACTCTCAGGAAACATGTATAAAATCGTGTTAATTGTATCACACCTATGTTCAAAGCCGTTAACAGCGCTTGTGATCAAAGACCCTCTGCTGAGAAAACACCTGTGGTCAAACCCCCTATGGTCAAACACCCTATGATCAAACCCCCTATGGTCAAAGCACCGCTATGGTCAAAGGCCCGCTGTGGTCAAACCCCCTATGGTCAAACCCCCTATGGTCAAAGCACCTGTGGTCAAAGGTCCGCGCACCCATTTGATAAGCTGGATAGTAGTTGAATTTGTCATTTATTTATGTCTATGCTCCTTGTGCTATAAGAATCTGATACAAGTTCACCATTGTAATGAAAAGATATCTCATGTTTATAGTAAAAAAAAATTGTGTTCGCAGATTTTAGTGTGATTAAAATAATTTATTTTGGACGGACATTTTGTTTTCCAACTGTATTACGATATACTGTCAGTGATCAAGTACGAGTGAAGTTTGAAGACATTCATCAAATAGAAATACATTTAAACTGAGTGACGCTATTTAATCCACAGCAGACACACTGACAGACATACAGACAACCAAACATACACCGTATTCCCATCTGTATTTATAACTATAGATACGATATTTGTTTTAAAAAAAAAATATTGACTTTCTGAATTATGATACATGAAAGATAGCTCTAACGTTTAGTGAAATATTGAGTGCAATATTTGTGGAATACACAATGTCATATACATTGTTTTGTTTGTTCTTACATGTTGTAGTTGATCGAAAGTAGACAATTAACCACACGTTAAGTACATAAAAAAACATTAAAAAAGAAATAATTTCTTTACTTCAAGACTTTGATTTTCAAACAAACGAAAACTAAATACAAACATATAATTAACTTGTGTTTTTTTCATTTATTTTACTGAACGAAACCGATACACCGAAATATTTAATAAAATAGTTTGAACCAACAGTTGTTTGTTAATTCGCTGTTTTAATCGACAAAATGCGTTCTTTGAATGTAGGACTTTTAGATTATTTAACAAAGTGAATTGCATTAAAATCATTAGCCATCATGTAGAGAATAGTGGCACATGCAGCAATATCATCCAACACTCACTAAAACATATTTTCTCCACATTATAAAGGTAGTTGTACACAACCTCAGCCATACATTCCCCCGTGTAGCTACCCATGTCTAAGGAATTTTAAAAAAAAAACGTGTAACAGGTAGCTCATCATCTGGTGAAACATACCTCACAATCACAGTCAGCTGATCAATTTTAGTCCGTCAATTATTGAGTCATTTTTGGGCCCCAAAGAAAGTTGGGAAACTAACCTAATGCCTGTTTAGCTGATACGTAATTCCTACAGTGTAGGCCTATATAGTGCTGTATTTAAACAAAACGATTAAATAATTTTAAATTAAAATTGTCAATCAGTTTAAAATTGCCGTACATATGTACTTTTTTATATCAATTTTTAAAATAAAACTAAACGATTAAATAAGCTTAAATTAAAATTGTCAATTAGTTGAAAATTGCCGTAGTTATGTACTTTTTTAAATCAATTTTTAAAACCAAACTAAACGATTAAATAATTTTAAATTAAAATTTTCAGTTTAGAACTGCCGTAGATATGTACTTTTTTATATCAAGTTTTAAAAAAAAAAAAAAAAACGATTAAATAATTTTAAATTAAACTTGTCATTTTAGAATTGCCGTTGTTATGTACTTTTTAAAATCATTTTTTTAAACAAAACTAAACGATTACATAATTTTAAATTAAAATTGTCATTATAGAATTGTCGTAGTTATGTACTTTTTTATATCAATTTTTAAATCAAAACTAAACGTGCTTAACAGTTGCCTTTGCTTGAATTTAAACTATTCAAGGGAGACAACAATTACACACGTGCATATTTATCAATATCAAGTTCATGGAAAAAAATCTACGTTTAACGTAATAGGAACAACACGCATTAAATGTAGAAAAATGTTTGTATTGTAAACATTGTCATATTATTAAGCAAACGCAAACTACTTTCTTTTTTAAATTATAAGTGTCTATAGTTATATATTTTGAAACAGTAGCCTTCGTGCACATATTTTGCCTTAAAATCCGAAACATACGTTTTATAATCGCTAGTTGGATCCTTCTTCGTTTTCAATTGCTTAAATTAGATCTACAGGTCTGTAAAAGATTGATAATGTCTTCTTTGGAGGATAAATCTATTTGGGATGACGGCGAGGAATCAGTTGGAGAAGAAGTTCTTCGCATGCAAACAGATGAAATAGTTGGAAGAACTCGTTTACTTGATAATGAGATAAAGATAATGAGATCAGAAATTATGCGTATTCAACATGAGCTGCAGGCACAAAAAGAAAAAATTAAAGAAAACACAGAGAAAATTAAAGTTAACAAGACTTTGCCATATTTAGTTTCCAATGTCATTGAGTTATTAGATGTAGATCCACAAGATCAAGGTGAAGAAGATGGAGCAAATATTGATCTTGATTCTCAGAGGAAAGGAAAGTGTGCTGTTATTAAAACATCAACCCGACAGACATATTTCCTGCCAGTAATAGGACTAGTAGATGCTGAAAAACTCAAACCAGGTGATCTTGTGGGTGTGAACAAAGACTCTTATCTCATTTTAGAAACCCTACCTGCTGAGTATGATTCACGTGTGAAAGCTATGGAAGTGGACGAGAGGCCAACAGAACAGTATGCTGACATTGGAGGTCTTGATAAACAAATTCAAGAGCTAATTGAAGCTGTAGTTTTGCCTATGACACATAAAGAAAGATTTGAGGCACTTGGTATTCAGCCTCCAAAAGGTGTACTTTTATATGGTGCACCCGGGACAGGAAAGACCCTTTTAGCTCGAGCTTGTGCTGCTCAGACCAAGTCAACATTTTTGAAATTAGCAGGGCCACAGCTGGTACAGATGTTTATTGGGGATGGTGCTAAGCTTGTCAGGGATGCTTTTGCCTTAGCTAAAGAAAAACAACCAGCCATCATTTTTATTGATGAACTTGATGCAATAGGCACAAAGAGATTTGACAGTGAAAAAGCAGGTGATCGTGAAGTTCAGCGTACTATGTTAGAGCTTCTTAATCAAATGGATGGGTTTCAGCCCAACTCAATGATCAAGGTTATTGCAGCTACTAATAGAGTGGATATTTTAGATCCTGCCCTTCTCAGATCTGGTCGTCTTGACAGGAAAATTGAGTTTCCCCAACCAAATGAAGAAGCTAGAGCCCGTATTTTACAGATTCATTCCAGAAAAATGAATGTGAATAAAGACGTTAACTATGAAGAATTAGCCAGATGTACAGATGATTTCAATGGAGCTCAGTTAAAAGCAGTTTGTGTTGAAGCTGGTATGATAGCCATGAGAAGAGAAGCAGTTGAACTTACTCATGAAGATTACATGGATGCTATAATTGAAGTTCAGGCTAAGAAGAAAGCAAATCTTCAATATTATGCTTAGTATTGTTTTTTTTATATTTTTTAAACAAAAATTACATTTTGTTATTTATGTTCATTTTGTACACCAGTCTATGATGTAATCATATGCATTTTAAAAATTGTAGTTATTTTGTTCAGCAAAACATCTCGTAAGCATATTACTGTTTGACTAAAATGCATTAATTTAGACTGAGACTGTCATGATGTTTGATTAAATTATTTCAACACCAAAATATGAAAGGACACACAAAAAACCTGGCATTTGACTGCCCTAATTTTATAACACTAAAGCAAGCATAACAAATGTATAATTAGTATGTTTCAATAAGAGTGATCCTAGATGGAACTTTTACTCTGCTGTTAACAATAAATAATAAGATTTAAAAAAAAAAAAAAAAAAAAAAAAAAAAAAAATGTATAATTTTAATTCTCGGTAATCCCAATTATTTTTCAGCTCTACTTAAAAACCCTAATTCCACCCCCCCCCCCACCCCGTCCCCTCAGCCCACCACGCACGCCGAGAAAAAAAATCCCTTGAATCAGCAATCAATTACACATTTGCATTTTCAGTTTCAGGTTGGTTTTTAATTTATTTTTTTTCTTTATATTTAGACGTTTTGTATTAGATCTATGTATAAGTAAACCATCTTAAATGAATGAAAGCAGGCTATAAGTAAGAAAGAAATATTACTATTGTAAATCTGTATCAGTTCTCACAAGCCGATGATGAAAACTAATACTAAAGCGAACACACAACTGACGTTATAAATTACGTGTCTGGGGTAAAAAAAAAAAAAAAAAACTATTTTTTGCAGAAAATATTTCACATATTAAATCTAGCCTAGCACTGCCCGGGTACCCAGGAATCAATATGTAGTCTGTAATGATTGCAATCAGTTTCTGTGCGAATAATAAACCAACCAAGTACGCAATAACTGCAAGCAATAACATTTTCTGACAAGGGTTGAAATAACCTAAAACTCACTCATGAAATTGTGCAATATTTATTTGGACCAGCTAACATATGGTCCTATCGTATTCTGTTAAGGTAAACCACATACAATTATAAAGAAGTGTTATTCTGGTCTTTCACCCTGGACCACACTGACTCCATGGTACCAAACACGCATGTGCCCGCCTCTCACTATTCGACAGAGATAGAATTTTTTTTCATAAACATTTTAAAATATGATTCATTTGTTACAGTTTTGATTTTTTTTTTACTGCCAAGATTCATTAAATATGTTCGATACTTGTCCCAACTTGTCTAGCGGCGAGCCAGACTGCACTATTTACGCTAGCCTGGAACGGCTAGTGCCATTTGCACATCACACCTTGTACACGCAGAAAACCCGAAGTGAACGAATATAACGAACGCCACGAAATGATCCGATAAACGCCGAAGGCGCCAAATCACAAGGCACATAACTCTGATTGCCTATGCTTTCATCGGCTCTCTTCTGGTTTTCCGCGTTTACATGGAGTTACATGGAGTGATGTGCAAAAAGCATTCCCCGCCTGGAACCGCGTTGTTGTCATTGTGATTGCTGCCCTGTTCGGGTCGCGACAGTTAGATAAGAGATAGGTTCGTCAGACGTCACACGAATTAGGAGTTTTCTATTTTTAAAAAAAAACTGAACCGGCTAAAAGCTTATAGTTTTAACACTGACTGGTAGGAATCATATTGTTTCGTTAATTTGAAAAATAAATGCGTTTGTTTGTTGTGTGGTAGTAGTATTGCAGTGCCGAAAAAAACATAACGTTGAACGACACTTTTAGACAAATTATGGCCTTTTTAATGTGAATTATCCTCTTAAATCTGAAGTAAGAAAGAAAAAAATGTGTAATCTAAAATCAAGTCTGTTTTCACTAGTCATGTGGAAAATTCTAAAAATGCTACTATTGCTTCTTTCAAAATATCTCACATGCTTGCAAAAAAAAAAGAAAAAGCAACATTTCATTGATGCTGAGATGTTTAAGGAACTGTTTTTGACTGGTGCCGATTAATTAAATGTTTTCTTTGTATGTATGTGTTTTGTTTGCTTTCATTACGTTTTCTAAATACATTAGATCTTTTACTTACATGTGAAATTTCATTTATCTATCTGAAATAGTACTCAAGTTATATGCTTTTGAAAAATTCAAAGTAGGAAAAGTACCACTTCCGGTTATTGGAAATCGCTCAAAAGTTGATACGGATCTACGATTTTGATAAAATACTTATATATGAAATTTCATGAACCTAGCTGTAACGGTACTCAAGTTATCGTGTTTACACACGGACAGACACACACACAGACATTCGGACAAGATTGTAAAATTATGTTTTTCCGTATCAGTGAGGTGTAAAACGTCGAGATTTGTAAAAATCTCTCTATTTTTTTTTTTGCACGATTACAATACTTTCTCTATACTTCGTATATACGAGAAAGTAAAAAAAGCTGCTCCAAAAGAAACTGAATCAAAGAACCAAATGTAGACAACATGTTATGTGTGAGTGTAGACAAAAGGTTATGTTTTGAGTGTAGACAACAGGTTATGTGTCGAGTGTAGACAACAGGTTATGTGTCGAGTGTAGACAACATGTTATGTGCCGAGTGTAGACAACAGGTTATGTGTCGAGTGTAGACAACAGGTTATGTGTCGAGTACGGGTAGTTCATCATCTGGTAAAATTAAAAAAAAAAGATAAATAAATAAAACGATGTTACATGTATTCCTGTTTTTCTTGTTTGACTGGAAAAAAAACAACTATCTGTTGTTTATTATATATCTGCTCTGCTTGTTGGCAGTCAATTATTAAGTCATGTTGGGGCTCCAAAGAAAGTTTGGGAACTAACATAATGCTTGTTTAGCTGATACCTAAATCATGTAATGTATGAAGTGTTAAATTTAAACAAAATGCTTTAATACTTTTTTAATTAAAATTGTCAATCCGTTTAGATGTACCGTTTATATATTTACTTTTTTAAATATCAATATTTAATACAGATCTTAACTTGCCTATCAGTTGCAGTTTATTGAATTTAAAATACTGTTTTTTAAAGTAAATATATTAGTTCGACGGAGAAAAATGTATACATTTCAGGGAGTAGCCTACGTCTTGATAAGAAGACCTATAGAATGTAGATCTAAATCAAATTTGAATGTAATTGTTCATTTCTTCATATTCTAAAATTGGAAGAGGACGCTATTAGTGTTGTGTTTTTTTCTGCAGTTTAAACTTGTTTCATTTGACGACATTATTTATTGGGTTCTTGTCACAACCAAATCCAGATGGTCAACTTGATTTCCAAACATTGGCACTATCCAGATGGTCAACTTGATTTCCAGACATTGTCACTATCCAAATGGTCAACTTGATTTCCAAACATTGTCACTATCCAGATGGTCAACTTGATTTCCAAACATTAGCACTATCAAGATGGTCAACTTGATGTCTACACATTGGCACTATCCAGATGGTCAACTTGATTTCCAAACATTGGCACTATCCAGATGGTCAACTTGATTTCCAGACATTGGCACCATTCAGATGGTCAGCTTGATGTCTAGACATTGAGGAAATAAATGTTGGTCCTGCTAAAATATCATACGAGTTTAGATACATCAGATTAGCTGAGTCTCGAGTAACAACAGTGGCACGTGAAAGCTTTGGGTCGTTAGAGAGTTTGTTAATCACATTCTCCATCTGTTGTCACTTTTCTCTCAGTCACATTATCCATCTGTTGTCACTTTTCTCCTAATAGTACAGGTATATGAAGCGCAAAGAAGTGGATTTTAGTTAGCGTCAGCTGCGTATTGTAAAATCGTGTTCATGTGTCTCTTTCATTTTCGCCTGTTCGATTAAACCGTTACCATCACATGAATTATAAATAATTTCAAGGTTTAGTTGATATGCTTATATAGAATTAGTCTATGTATTAAAGTATTATTAGTATTGCTAGCCGGGCAATGGCTGTGGTGGTAACCTAGCCGTCTAGATCTACAAATCTAATATTCAAACCACTGGTAATCCGAAATCACATAGATCTACATCTAGTCATGGGCTGGAGTAGATTGATAAATTATAGAGTCTAAAGATACCTAGATTTAATAGTTTAATAAGATATCTAGATCTGTGATTGTGGTAAAATAAACCGGGAGCGATCTCCCCTAAACTTTCTCGAATATTCTTATATAAAATAACAGGGTATGGGAACTCGGGCTATAGACATGATTTTTAATCCATTTTAAATACTTAAAGTTTTAAAAATAGAATGAAATCTCGCAGACAAATTAATTGCACACCAAGTGAACACCAAATAAAAAAGCGCATAATAGTGCACAATATTATTAGTACTTTTAAAATTTAGATTAGTTTTTTGAGAAATCGGAAGTAGCGTAAATTATTACTTCCGGTCAACGGAAATTACTCAAAATTTTAAAGAAGGTAGAGAATTAGATCTTTTACTTACATGTGAAATTTCTTTTATCTATCTGAAATAGTACTCAAGTTATATGCTTTTGAAAAATTCAAAGTAGGAAAAGTACCACTTCCGGTTATTGGAAATCGCTCAAAAGTTGATACGGATCTACGATTTTGATAAAATACTTATATATGAAATTTCATGAACCTAGCTGTAACGGTACTCAAGTTATCGTGTTTACACACGGACAGACACACACACAGACATTCGGACAAGATTGTAAAATTATGTTTTTCCGTATCAGTGAGGTGTAAAACGTCGAGATTTGTAAAAATCTCTCTATTTTTTTTTTTTTTGCACGATTACAATACTTTCTCTATACTTCGTATATACGAGAAAGTAAAAAAAGCTGCTCCAAAAGAAACTGAATCAAAGAACCAAATGTAGACAACATGTTATGTGTGAGTGTAGACAAAAGGTTATGTTTTGAGTGTAGACAACAGGTTATGTGTCGAGTGTAGACAATAGGTTATGTGTCGAGTGTAGACAACAGGTTATGTGTCGAGTGTAGACAACAGGTTATGTGTCGAGTGTAGACAACAGGTTATGTGTCGAGTGTAGACAACAGGTTATGTGTCGAGTGTAGACAACAGGGTATGTGTCGAGTGTAGACAACATGTTATGTGTCGAGTGTAGACAACAGGTTATGTGTCGAGTGTAGACAACAGGTTATGTGTCGAGTGTAGACAACATGTTATGTGCCGAGTGTAGACAACAGGTTATGTGTCGAGTGTAGACAACAGGTTATGTGTCGAGTACGGGTAGTTCATCATCTGGTAAAATTAAAAAAAAAAGATAAATAAATAAAACGATGTTACATGTATTCCTGTTTTTCTTGTTTGACTGGAAAAAAAACAACTATCTGTTGTTTATTATATATCTGCTCTGCTTGTTGGCAGTCAATTATTAAGTCAT